TTTGCATAGGAATCAAATACTGAAAATAGGACTAGCTGACTTGTGAGTTGCTTATAAATGTATGAGTCTATAAAAAAAAATTATTCTAGGAAACAGTTTCTGAGCTACAGCTATTCTCCTGACAACTTGTTAGTGTATCAAACCCTGCTGATCAATAAGTTTTCCACAGATTGATTGATTGATTTGACTTAGGCCCTGCCCAATTACAGAATTCAAGGTCAACTTGAACAAATAGAAATATATAATCTAAGTAGAAAATGTTAAATAAGATGCAACACAAAAATCTATAACACACTCATGCCACTAGGGGTTGCAATCATCCTAAGTCAGAGCCTTGGAGAACAGCCAGATCGTTAAATCCATAGGAGCACCAGCATGGTGGGAGCCCTCCAAATTTCAAGGGGAGCCTCATTCCAGAAGAGACTAAGATGGTTCTAGATAGATAGCACTGCTTGATCAAAGGAACCCAAAGAATACCAATTCTGCCAGATTGAATCTTCTGGATTGACACCAGAAGAGATCGGTAGAATCAGGTAACAGATCGGTAGAATCAGGTAACAATACTGGGAAGCAGTGGGGCTTGCAAAGCAGGTCTCTTGCATTGACGTGTTGAAGGATGCCCAGGACTGCTATTGCTGTCGCTTTCCGAGTAGTATTTAAAAGCAGCCCCGTGCAGAGTGCTCTGCAGGGATCTAACAATGAAGCGACTAGTGATATGCAGGTAGTTCTTGGCTTAGCACTGGAATTTCCATCACAAAGGGATGTGATTGTAAACAGCAGTGCCACAGGACTGCATTGCTTAGCAACAGAAATCCTGGCATTGCTGTCATTAATTGAATTAACACTAGTTATTAACTGAGGATCCACCTCTATCAAAGCCGCTCTGTCTTAATCCCTCCCAGTCTTGAACTTTGGTAAAGTAAGGGACTGCCTTCCCCTTTCCTCCCCATCTATCTATTCTCCCCCATCTCTGTCCTTCAACCTCCTTTGTGGGGCTGAGAGCAGCTCCAGAACCGGGGAACTTGTTGCTGCTTGTCATCCTGTAGCTTTTGGGGGGCTTCTTGGTGTTCTGTGGTTCTGGGGACTTCTTGACATGCCACTGCTCTGGGGCTGCAAAAAACACCTGAGCCAAAGCGCAGAGCAGGAAGCCACAACCCTCATAACACCCGGCATAACGCTGCAGACCAGATATTCCCTGTGATACTCTATGCAAGTGAAAGTTGGGCTTTGAAGAAGCAAGATAGGAAGCGTACAGATGTTTTTGTACTCTGGTACAAAAGAAGATTCCTAAAAACAACATGGACAGCCAAAACAAACCAATGGCTCATCTGACCAATCAACCCTGGATTTTCACTCAAGTCACAAAAGTGTCACCGGCTGAAATTGTACTCCTTCGGACAGATTATGTGAAGACCTCTCTCTCTCTGGAGAAGGCTCTATGCTGGGAAAAGTAGAAGGAAAGAGTTTTAGTTTTGATTTTAGTTTAGTTTATTAACTAGCACGACCATATTAAATACAATAAGATAAATAATGCTGTGTATTGGGATGTAAACATATTCAGTGAAATAATCATATCCGATCATCCCCTTGGCATCAAACTCCAAACTAATCTAAACTGGAAGCTCTCAAGTTGAACGATTTTAGCTGTAAACATGGCAGTTTTTCTTAGCGTCCATGAGTCTATGCCTTGGTTGAGGTAAGAGCTTATTGAGGGTTCCTAAAGGGCTATCTTGTCAATTAAATGCTATGCTCTGTCTAAAGCATTTAATGGACATTCAAGGGGGATGTGAGTGATGTCCTCTATTTGCACTGGGCCACATCTACATCTCTTTTCTGGATTGAGGTGCTTGATGAAATTGTCCAGGTTTAAAATCAAGGTGCTCAAATCTTGCTCTGATTAGGACTATTTTTTGATCTTGTATCACACCATAGTTAGATATCTTTCTGTTGTAATAACATTCTGAGCCAACCATTTCAAAGATTTAATGTTAGTAAATGCCACTTTATCAACGTGAGCACTAGTATTAAGAACCTTCTGTTTGAACATGTCCTTGACTTGGCCAACTGAGATTAAATATGGACATGAATAACCCTGGAGTGAGATGATTTTGGTAAACTGATTTTAACATGTTAATAGGATGGAAGATGCCATACTGTTTAACAAGATACTTTTAGATAATTTATTATGATCCACTGAAAGAACCTTCAATCAGTAGTTTGAAAGCTTGAATTTTTGTAGAGCTGTGGATGGAGTGGATGCCTATTTAAGCTCTTGTCTACAGAGGCCGGGGTGTTTTTATTTGTTCCCAGAAGGAACAAATTTAAGAAGGTAGTGTGGCTTCATTCAAGTAATGACATTTGTGGCAGTTTTGCACCATAGGTGGTGCTTTAGCCTTACACAGATGTTCCTCAGGTTGTGATGGCACTTTGGGAACAGAATATCTGTTGCTGATTGATAAAGCTCATTATCATGTGACCACATTGCTTAGCAATGGCAATTCCACAGCCCAGAACCAAACAGGTTGTAAAGTGGAAAAGAAAAGAGTCCCGGGTAAGCTGGTGGTGGGCACTACAGATGGGTAGGTGGTGCCCTGGGCTGGAGCCTGGTCAAGAGAAAAAGCAGTGGAAGCAGGAGGAGCAACCTCTTTACTTCCTGCCAGCTTCCCCATTGAGTTTGCTTGTGGGAGGCTGGCAGAAAGGATTTGCAATGGGGATCATGTGGGACTTTGCACCTCCTCCCATAAGAGAGAGTTGGTTGCCAGGCACCCAAATCGTGATCACATGACTGGGGGGGAATTTCATGGTTGCAACTTCATGGACTGGTTATAAGTCTCCCTTCTTCAGGGCCATTGTGATTTTGAATAGTTGCTGAATGAATGGAGGTAATCCTAGCGCTGCCCATATTGATTTTTAACCTTCAACTCTGGGAGGAATCTAGGTGTCCCTAGTGGACCACCATTCAGGTATGAGCAGCCGTGTGGAAAGCCAGTGCTGTCCTGGGCTGCTACATCAGCAGAGGGATAGCATAAACATCAAGAGAAGTGATGGTGCTGCTCTATACCACACGGGTGAGGCTACATTTGGAATATTACTGTCAGCCTCTGTTTTGCTACTTGCTTTCGGCTGCCATTGAAACGGGGAGGGGGAGGCCTGGTATTTGGGAAGGGAAGTTTTAAGTACAGGAGGGATTGTGTAAACGGAGTTTTATTCTCAACATCTACTGTGCATGCTGGAGATTGTGATTGGAGCCGCCAAGGCCAACTGTCCTGCATACCAAGCTGATGATGCTTTTTGAAGATGGAACTCACATGACACCTGAGGGACAAGCAGATTGGACTAGGGATGGAGTCACCAGGGGGAGGGGTTTGGGTCACATATTGATCTCTATGATTTCGCACACTTTTGCCTCAGATCTTGCTTTGCTTAGCTGCTATCTTTTCATAACCAGTAAAAGTACTCTTAATCCTGCGAAATTGAGTTAAATGGTTTCTTTCTTGGTTGCTGAGGGAAGCTGGCTTGACAATTACATCCAGTTCTGGATACCAGAACTGAGTTCTCTTTATCTAGTTTTAGGATCTGTATGGAGAACAGATAAATTTCCAGTAATATTTATGCAAAAATATTAGAAATGCAAGAGCTCGTAAACTTTTAAGTGCTACTTAAGTGCTACTGTGCTTCACAAGGGCAGGCTTCTTCGTTTCCCAATGTCCAGGAAGGATATTTGAATAGGTGACCTGCTGCCTGGCGTCTGCTCAGCATTTGAGCAAAAGGAGCCAGAAAGATTTGACTCTGCTGCCCAGAAAAATGGAGGCTGAAAAGTTTCTTTTAGCTTGTAGCTTGTGAATGGATTCATTACCCAAAGCTTCCAAGTGGAGATAGCAGCAGTTCCTAGCCTCAGTGACCTTTGTGATGCCTGTCTTCAGCTCCCCCCAGATAAGCCCTCACCTTTTATTGGTTTCAATTCATGGCCTTCCCATCAAAAGGTTCCCATGAAGGCTCAGCCCCAATAATTCCTTTTCAGTCTTAAGCTGCTTCTTTATTGGTCTAGGAAACTAATCAGATCTGGGTAAAATGATCCTGTTATTTCTTGCTCCTCATTCTGAGAAATTAAAGTCAGCAAAGACCCCCTTTGTGTACCTTCTAATCTTGGTTGAGTTGGGTTTCCAGCAGCTAAGTTTCCTTTGATTGCTGCATTCCTACCTGAAAGTCCTGTGAGGAAACCCAGGAGGGAGTTTTTCAGATGATCTTGTCTCTTGGCCATTTATGGCCATCTATTCCTGCTCTCTTGACTCCTGCTAATTTAGCCTCGTGTGTATCTGACAAGTTTGTGCCTTTCCGTCTTTCAAGACATTGTGTGTCACTTGATTAGAGACTGATTCAGATTATGGGGAGGGGGGGGG